CAAGCATATGACACTGTCAAGAAGTCTCTAGCCAAAGCGCCGGTCCTGAGATACTACGATGTCAGCAAGGAAGTTACTATTGAATGTGATGCTAGTGACACTGGCCTAGGTGCTGTCTTAACGCAAGACGGACAACCCGTTGTTTTTGCTTCGAGGGCACTTACAGATACAGAAACTCGTTACGCCCAGATTGAAAAAGAATTACTAGCGATTGTCTGGGCAACAAGCAATATATCAGTATATCCTCGGCCGAGAAACCGTTACCATAGAATCCGATCATGAACCGCTTAAGGCAGTTTTCATCAAACCTATACATAGCTCGCCTAAACGGTTGCAGAGAATGCTGCTGGCCCTCCAAAATTACAATCTTAACGTGCAGTACAAGAAAGGCAAACTCATGTGGATATCGGACACCCTGAGTCGTGCATATCGGAACACAACAGAATCTTGGCGTCATGACACGACTGAGGTACGAGCCCTGGAAGAGATCGACCATGCAGAGAATCTGTCTATTTCTCCAGACAGACTCGACCAGTTCAAGCGCGAGACACCGTCAGATAAAACCATGCAGAGTATCATCGTCGCGGTAAAGAATGGCTGGCCTACATCCAAGAGACAGTGCAGCCAGGACTTGGCACCGTTCTACGACAAAAGAAGTGAACTAGTAGTTGATAATGGACTAGTTTTCGCTGGAGAACGTTTAGTAGTCCCAAAATCAATGAGAAAAGAAATGCTGACGCAGATTCACCGATCTCATATTGGCATAGAAGGATGTCTTCGGAGAGCCCGTGAGGTATTATATTGGCCACTCATGAACGCAGAGGTTAAAGATTTGATTTCTAAATGCCCAACATGCCAGGCGTATCAATCGGCACAATGTCGTGAAGAATTAAAACCATACCCAATACCATTCCGTCCCTGGGAAACGGTCAGTATGGACCTTTTTGAGCTTGGAAAACAACACTTTGTTCTGCTCGTAGACCACTGGAGTGGATTCTTCGAGGTCCAAGAACTTACGAGAACTACCGCTGATAAAGTCATAGTAGCCTGCAAAGTCCAGTTTGCACGACATGGAATCCCAGATACAGTGATAACAGACAACGGACCTCAGTTTTCTGTCACAGAATTTTCAGCATTTGCAAGAGATTGGCAGTTTAAGCATCTAACTTCAAGCCCTCGTTACCCACAATCTAATGGCAGAGCAGAGAATGCGGTCAAGACTTGCAAAATGCTGATGACAAAAGCCAAAGCTGCTGGTCAAGACCCATTGTTAGCATTTTTAGACTGGAGAAACACCCCCACAGAAGGTCTGGGATCATCACCTGCCCAAAGGTTGATGGGGCGACGTACGCGAACACTGTTACCGACTCACAAAAATCTCCTTAAACAACCAATCAACGAAGGCACTAGAGATAAACTGGCTGCTCGGAAATCACGACAAATTCGCCATTATAACAAGACGCACCATCCTCTTAAGCCATTAAAAAAAGGTCAAGCTATACGAATGAAATTACCAAATGCAACAAAATGGACCCTTGGAACGTGTACCAGGGTCTTGGATAACAGATCGTACGAAGTAGAGGTGAGTGGAAGGAAATACCGACGAAACCGCCGACAACTCCGAGCATCGCAAGAAAGACCTCCAACACCACCAGCTGGTATGGATCCTGAGATTGGACCTGAGCAAAGCAGTAGGGAACCCGAGAACAGTTCGATTGTGAATGAACCCAATCTCGAACACGTACCACTATTAGACGGTGAAACCTCCGCTGAGACCATTGGAAATCTACCACGCCGATTTGCGCGTACAAAATATACACCGGTGTGGCACAAGGACTATGTCATGAAGTGAACGCTCTCAACTAAAACGTTAAGTACCAGTACTTTATGCATATATACAATTCTATAATATACAGTAGTTTCATATTTTGTTAAAGGGGAAAAGATGTCACGATGTTATTAGGTGACGTCACGATGACGAAAACATTAATTTGATTGACAGGCGCGGCGAGCGAGGCGTACGAAAAGTAACACAAGCTAGGCGTTTTATATATTGTAAACAAATGACTATTTCTCTCGATTTCTTGTTAATCAGAAACTATATCGTAATAAACTAACACGTTACACTGTGATTTATATATTTTGTCTGCGATTTATATATTTTGTTGCTATTTTGGCTGTAGTAACACTGTTGTTTATGAATGCTAATAATAATTGGAATTTAACAGATGCTTAGTTTATTTTATTGTATGTATGAAATAATATAGTGATATTCTTTTCCAAAATAATTTCTATATGCACCAATCATGTTAAGCATGCACCTAGATGGGAGGACAGGCTACCCATGGCTTTGTAATAGACTAATCAAGTAATAAGTAATGCCTGCCCAAGACACAACATTTTTGACAACAATTTTTCCCATTTGTAGACTGGGCAACTATGATGAAGAAGCAAATGATGATTGGCAAATTTGATAAAAACCCAAATATTTTTCAGTGTTCAGTATTTAAGTAGTGATTTTGGGTGAAGACCTTCAAAACATCCAGGAGTTTCCAAAAATAATGTTTTTCATTGGCTCCCCTGGAAATATTTTCCTTTGATTTTTGAACAAGCTCCCTGGAAATCCATAATACAGTTTTTAAGCCAAATATTTGGGTGACAACATTCCTTTGAAATGGATTTTTATGTTCCTCTTTAAGAAGTTCCAAGGTCTTCACCCATGGGTGTATTGATTAAAAATGCTAGCAAGATTGTTGGTCAACCTTTTATTTTTGTACTCAAAATTTTCCCCATGTGCATATAGGCATACCAGATAACTTCAGCCTGTACATGCATGGGTTGAGGGCGAATTAATGGTTGAATAAACATTGGACATTTTCACTGACACTGTTAAAATTCTTGAGCCATATGCACCATAGAAGGAACTAATAATGTGTGAGTGTGACAATTTCACTTCCCCTGGAAGTAGAAGTGAGGCTATAAGCCAGAGTGTGAGAGGTGAATCTATAGATTCAGGTTTTTGTTTCCTGTAATGTAGGTAATAACAAGTCATTGGATTCTACATCAGCTGCATGTAAAGGCCCTCGTGAAGAATTTTTCCAGCCCCCCAACTGTTTACCTCCAGTTTTTTCAACATAGATTATCCTACATGTATCAGTGTTAAGCCCCAGAGTGTCAGACAAATAATGGTAAAATATGAACATTTGATAAATGTGGATATATTGAAAAGACTGAAAAATACATTGTTTACATCAATTGTTTGAATGTTATATTTTTCTTCGATTTCTACAATTCAATGTTATCTGCTGTTATAAATCATATTCTATTTTTGCCTCCTCTGCAGGCAACTCTGTATTGTTTTGTATAACAGGTTTTCAACTGTTATTTGTTTTGTATTGTAAATGCATTTTGTAAATTATCAAACTTTGGTCGAGCTTCAAGCAAAATAGGGTTAGGCCTGGGGAGAGCAAAACATGGGAGGAAAAATCCCAAAATATAAAACCTATTATACAAAACAATACAGAGTTGCCTGTGGAAGAGGCTAATTCTACTTAAATACTAGTTTACCCACAGTGTAGTGAATGCTGCCTTGGTATAGCATTGTTCCCAAATCATTAATATTTTAAAGAATAAGAGTAAGAAATATTTGTAATCACCATTCCCCAATTAACCAAAATTTTGATCTCAACAAGTCTGTACTTAAATATTAACCCAGAACTCTCCCCTCGACAACTAAAATTATCTGGCATTAGACAGAAAATAATAAAGTAGGGTGCAATGTGACTCAATGGGTTAACTAGACATATCATGGGCAGATAGACGAGTTAACCCACTAAGTGCCAGCGCTCGCCCCTTGACGAGTAAAATCGTATAGCATTAGACAGAGTAAAATAATCTGGCGTTAGACAGAGTAAAATAATAAAGAATGTTAGGGTTTGTAATCCAAGTGATTATATACATTTTAAGACCTGACCAGGAACGACTGCGAAAATGCAGCACAAGGTCCTCTGGTAGGAATTGGACCTACGGCCCTGCCATTCCGGTGCAGCGCTCTAACCAACTGAGCTACAGAGACCAGCTGTTGAGCTGTAACCGTAAGTTCATGTAAATATAGGTAATCGGGTGTGCGGGTTGTGATAAGGTGAACTTGGATGATGTGGTTTCTTTGCACTTCACTTGGTGGAATTAATATATTTAGAATGTTAGGGTTTGTAATCCAAGTGATTATATACATTTTAAGACCTGACCAGGAACGACTGCGAAAAATGCAGCACAAAGTCCTCTGGTAGGAATTGAACCTACGGACCTGCGATTAAAATAATAAAATAGGGCGCATCAGTGCACAATGAGACTCAATGGGTTAGAGATGAACAGACGGTCAAGTCTGTTCTGCACATATGTACCTTCTGATGTAAACAATTGGTAACATCAAGGTGTTATACATAGGGTTATACATGGTGGTCAACATGTACAGTATCAACACTAATGACTTGGGGAGCAAGCAAATGAGGCTAAATTGCATGTATTCGCCAGCAAACAGGAGGTCAAGACAGTGAAAAATTTACTCACACCAGGAACTGTGTTTCCTTTTAGAGTTGACTACCATGTGCCGAGATGTTGCATCACAACACATGAAAGTAAAGAATACCCAACTTTCACATTGTTTTACAGCATCTGCATCTCATTCAGAAACTCTAATCAAAATTCATTTAAAGAATAGCAACCTGAATGATGTTAAATATGAACTATGTACATCATATTTTTTTTAATATAGCGTGTTTGAAATGTAAAAAACCAACATCCCTCACGTTTTATGATTTTTAACACTATTATAAACAGGGTGCCATATACTGCTATAGTTTCAAAAAGTGAAAACTTGACTGATTTCTGCATAAGTATTTCACAAAATATTAAATACAACGATATCCAGCTGCGCATAAGTTATTATACCATTTATATTTCTTCTAAATCCTTTAGACATGGCTCACATGAGTATTAATTTCTCGGTAATTTCGGAATTTCAATTTTCCACTCCTACGATGAATAACAGTGCCATATAAATCGGTAGATAATCTTCAAAGGTTTCTCGTAACAACACATCTTTCAAGGACGAATTATATAAACATGTTAATAACAACTTTAGTAAAGGAAAACTGTTATGAGCAAAATAATAAGTGTTTCTCGTGCCGATTATTTTCTGAAACACTCGGGCGCCATCTCGAAATTTGAGTTCGGGGGGGTGAATGCCTCTCTTTAGCGCACTGGCTAAGCTTTGGTGGCCGGTTACACTTTTTTGGCTGAGTTCCACCTCTGTGTAGTATATCCGAGACGACGTCGCAAACCAGAAGCTGACGATAGTTGGCGCCAAATGACGACATCCACGTCCTCTTGACGTCTGCGTCAGGTACACAGAAGGCCGACTTCTTCGTTTTTCCTATGATTTTCCTATGATTTTGGCGTAACTCGTGATTCGTCATCAAATGCTGACGCCATGGTCCTAGCCAGTGCGCGTTTGAGAGGCATTTACCCCCCTGATAATATTCAAAATGGCGGATTCCAGGGGGGGGGGGAATGCCTCTCAAACGCGCACTGGCTAGGACCATGGCGTCAGCGTTTTGATGATGAATCATGGCGTGGCAGCGGTTACTTGAGTCGACCTCCTGTGTACCTTATTCTGTGCCACAGAGTAGAGACATACAGAGACGTAACTAGTGTACCCACTTTTTTGTGCGCATGCTCGGCAAGTTACTAAATGCATGCATCTGATTGGATGACGACCTGATGACGACTCACTTTAAACTTTCTGAGCACGCGCAGTTGATCATTTTTCGCCCGGTCGCCTGAAAAAAAGTGGGTACATTAAAACGTAATTTTCCCCAGCGTTTACAACGGTCAGTTACGTCTCTGTATGTCTTATCTACTCTGTGGCCTCGCTTTGAAAATACACAACTGCACTGATCTCAAATCAGTTTGCAAGCAACACTGGAATTCTAATGAATTTAACTTTTACATCTGATAAAAAAATAAACACGTTATTTACCGGCAGCGTTGGTCCGGATGAGAAAAACTGTGCCCTCGGTCTTGAAAACGTCCCTCGCCCTTCGGGCTCGGGCCGTTTTCAAGACCTCGGGCACAGTTTTTCTTATCCGGACCTCGCAGCCTATATATATATATATGATAGTTTGGTTTATTTATTGGAAAAATTCGATGTATCCGAAGTAATATTGTAGTAATAGGAATGAATGTTAATTCATAATCATGATATTTTAATTACATAAATAAATAACATCATTTTCTGATATTGTTTGTATTTGTAGTTCAACATGTCAGACACAGACAAACAACTTCCCGCACTAAATAAATTTGATTAATTGCTCGTGACTTTGAAATTTACACTTTTTTAAATAAAATTTGATGCAATCCAAAACCTGTACTAATAAGATTTGACATAAACCTCGAAAATCTAAATAAATAACACAGTGTACGCGATTGTAATTTCATTCAGATTCGGACTGTAGCTCACACAACAATATCAAACTTCTCCCTAAATATTCGTTTCTTTCTATGCTAACCACAATAATAATTTTGGCTTACACTGCCTCTGCAGGCAGTTGTAGTAGTTTGATATTCCAATCCTTTGTTTCCGAAAAATAGTCGATTTTGTGATCAAAATGTACATTTCGTAATACAAATCCCTATTGCACTGACTGGCTTTACTGGCTGCGAGATGCTGTGAGCTTGAGAATCTGTATAAAATCAGTTTCAACAGCATTCTCGAACCAAGAGCCCTTCTTACGCACGGTGCGACGAGGGGCTCTGGCCAAATCCATATTACGAACTGGCCCGAACTGGCATCTGATTGGCTAGTTCTAACACCGGACATTGCTTTCTTACCATGTTTTTGTGGTATCCGGTTATGGATTTGGCCAGAGCCCCTCGTCGCACCGCGCGTAAGAAGGGCTCTGGGTACGAGAATGTTTCAACAGCAATCTTGAAACCAGAGCCCGCAATCCTCTGTTGAGGCTTGCTGAGGCTCTAGGAAGTGGGAAACACCGGCGACTTTTGCACGAAAATCAGTACATTTGGATCCAGTACTCCGCTCGACATTTATAAATGTAAATAAATCAAACTTTACACTGTGATAACTTGTAATATCAACTTTTAATATGAACAACTTTACAACTCTATCAGCGTGACCACATGTTCGCCATGTTGAGTTCCACTGCGCCAATCTTCTGCGCAGACTCAGTCACGTGCTATTCACATTAACACAAAGAATATTAACAAATTCCACTATTTTATTTAAGCAAACAATATACCAGTTTCTAAGGCGTTTCTTAGTACTTTGGGTGAGGCACCTTTCTTCGTTAGACTATCTGCAAGTTGCCTATTGGTACTGCACCAATTAACGGATGTAATCTGTTTTGCTTCAATTAACTCTTTTATGCTGCTAATATCTAACCTAAGACGTTTTTCTGACACACTCTTTACTGACTTCAAGGCTTCATAAAGTGAGTTACAGTCGGTGTAACATTCTATGGGAAACATGGTGGGGTAAGGTTTACCATACATTAATTCAGCAAGAAGAGTACATAAGAATATACTATTATCTATTCCCTCCGCCAAGGCGAGGGTTTCAGCAGCGAGAGTGCTCCTTACTACCCTACGGATTTTCTTAGAATTCCACCAAATAGGTGAGAATCTTCCCGATTCCCCAACAAGTAAAACCAAATATCCACCCTGACTTCCACCATTCGGCATGTTACCCAATGAAGCATCACTAAATACAACAAGCTTTAACTTCTCTTTACTGCCCAAGTTTTGAAATTTGAGAGATGATTTTGTGACCTTGGCTTTACCAATAATTTTATTTATTTCCAGTACATTCTGCACAGTGCCTTTGTTTATGTTGTTAGCCACACTGGTCACATCAAACAGTAAGTGCCCTGACTTTGATGAGCCAGCCATAACAGTTGACCCACCTTGGATCTCACACTATGTTTTTCACATTCCGTCAACTCACTATCTTTTTCAAGAGCTCTAGAAGCAGTAATTTCAACAGGTTTAAGTAAATCTGTATAATCTATCTGATCAAGATATATCACACCATCTTCACCATATTCCAAGTCAATACCACAATATTTGAAGGCTTTATTGCTTTCTTTGCCAACACTTAAGATAGATCTTATCCTACTTATGACATTTTCAAATTCGGGTTTACCCCCCCAAATAAAATCATCAACATGACATGCCAACATCCCATAAACATCACCATTTTCATCAAGCCAATAAAATACAGCAGGGTCAACTTTAGAAACACATGCTCCCAATTCTAGTAACAGAGATTTAACCCTACAATACCAATTTAAAGAAGCATCACTTAACCCATATACACACTTATTGAGCTTCCAAACTGTATTCGAATTAACTTTGGCTTCAATGGGAGGTTTAATATAAACATCTCTGTCTATGGATTGCCCTTGGAGGAAGGCAGTTTTAATATCCATAGAATTAAGCTTCCATTTATTCTGGGCCAAAACTGAAATTATCAACCTAAGTGACTCATGTGCACAAGTGGGGGAGTCTTTTTGAATAGTTTGATCATATTCTTCAAAACCCCGAGCAACTAGCCTAGCTTTGGGAACAATAGAATCATTTATTGTCTTAAAGGTATACACCCACCTAGTTGAAACACATTTTTGACCTGTATAAGGCACTTCGTGATAGACCTCATTCTCTCCCCAACTTTCTAATTCTCTCATTTTTGCTTTGTTCACATCAATATCACTCACAAGCATGACTTCATCAACATCTTCAACATAATCATTTAACCAATCAGGTTTTTTAACTACTCTAGATGACTTTCTGCATCCCTCACTTTTATCTGTCTCAGACCCTGTTTCTGCAGATGTGTCACTATTCAACTTGCAAGAATCATTTGAAGTGTTTTCAACTTCATCAACTGAAGGTGAACTCCCAGCTTCAGTATTACCACTAGAAACTACTTTATCATCACTACACACTTTTTGTAGCCTGCATCTGTGAACTCTCACTAGAGACCCACCATGTCTCACAAACACAACTGGCCCTTCTACTCCAATAACAACACCAGGCCCCTTCCATTTTGTTTCATCCGGTCTTTTATAATATACTTTGTTACCAGACTTATATACCTCATCAGTATTTCTGGTATTCTTACGCAATGCTCTCCTTATTCTCTCAGACCGTTCAGCCTTAACAAATGCTTCTCTGGCAGCATACATTGCATTAATGTGTGAAGCAACATTCTCAGAAGTTGTTTGCCCCTCAAGTGCAGGTAGCTTGTCACTAAAAGCAGAAGGCAAATTGGGATTTCTGCCAAAGACTATTTGGTATGGGCTAAACCCATTAACATTATTTAAAGCATTCTTGGCAGCAACTGCCCAACAGAGGGATATTTCCCAGTCATAGGCATGGCTTTCCCTAAGCTTAACTAATATTTCAGTTAATATCAAGTTATGTCTCTCACATGTACCATTACTCCATGGACTATATGCAGGAGTTGTTATAACTTCAATGCCAAAATTTTCACACATATCTCTTACTAAATGATTGTTAAATTCACCCCCATTATCACTAACTAATCTTTTGGGAGCCCCATAAACAGAAACCCAATGCTTAATGAACATTTCAATAAATGTTTCAGGTTCTTTGTTGTATACTATGCATGCATTACTTAATCTACTAAATTCATCTATTATATGTAAATACCATATATTACTTCCCAATTGATGAAGGTCAACAGCAACAGTCTCATTGAAGTCACTGGCTCGAGGTAAACCAACTACTGGTCTTGCAGGAGATTTCTTGAACTTCTGACATGTGTCGCATCCATCCACTACTTCCTGTACTAATAAATAATTGTTCATCCTTAATATCTGCTGATTTAAGTAATTGAATAAGTAGTTTCATTGCACTGGCATGTCCAAATTGATAATGTAGTTTTAAGAGTTTCTTCCGTTTTTCAGCATCATTCATACCTTGAAATGTTGTCTTCGAATACATAACATCTTCAACTTCATCTTTGTTTTGATTTCCCATTATACTAACACAATAGTGACCAGATGAAGTCAGTTCTAGTTTTAGTTTTTCACCAAACAGGATCGCTTCATCATTAGGTATATCTAATTCTGCCCCAGCTCGTTTTAGCGACTCTTTGCTTAACAGTAAGGGCAGTTCAATCGGTACCACCTCCACTTTTATTTTGCAATTTGTTTTCCCAATTTTTGCTGCAATTGTAACTACTTTGTCAGAGTATATTAATGATCCATGACCAAACTTGAAAGGTCTATGACTTTTCTGAGTTGATAACACTTTCTGTAGCCACGACTTTCCACAGACAGTTTTTGTGCAAGCTGTATCAAGAATCGCAGTGCCATATGACTCCGCTATCAATATCTCACTTTGGGTCAACAATGTGATATTTACTGATTCCACGCCCTCTTCAGATGGTGGTACATCCTCTGATAAATGAACTCTCTCACTTTTGTCAGGGCAGTTTGTAGCATAGTGAAAAATTGACTGACAAATTCTACATCTAGTTGGTTGACCAAATCGGTTTAACGGATTTGTTTTACGATTACATCTATCTTTTATCAGAGATGTTCTAACTTGGGATCTATTGCTTGCTGAATACATTGCTTCTTGTTTCATCGAGATTGCTTCATCTCCTGTCACACCGCTGGCACTGTCTGACAATGCACCACCAAAAATTCTTTTTAGTGTAGACTTCATGCTTTCATATTTCAGGTCAGAACAAGCAGTTAGTGCTAATTGTCGTTGATTTTCTGTCAAGCCTGCCCCGTCCAATAGTTTAAAGGCAAGAACAGCTTCTGGTAAAGCCATCTCTCTCTTTTTGATCTTGGTGTAAAGTGAATCAAAGTCCACAATGTATTCTGCCATACTTGTACTAGGTTTTTTTCTAACAGTATCAAAATTTTTATACGCCTCGTAATCACTTTCCGTAGTGGCCTTGAGAAATAACGTATCAAGCTTTCTTAACAAATGACCAAGTCCGTCTTCGCCGCCGAGATCGTCTCCTAATTCTATAATCCAACTTCTTTTGCTTTGCCATCAAGCGTTAAACAAACCGCAATGCCTTGCTTTGCCTTGGCCAAACCTGTAACCTTCGTCCACAGCTCGATTTCCTGCTTCCATGTTCTATAGTCATTATGATACTTCGGTGGATTTATAAACTTACTATCCATATCTTTTACTTTTTAAGAACCACTCTCTGCTACCAATGTAAATAAATCAAACTTTACACTGTGATAACTTGTAATATCAACTTTTAATATGAACAACTTTACAACTCTATCAGCGTGACCACATGTTCGCCATGTTGAGTTCCACTGCGCCAATCTTCTGCGCAGACTCAGTCACGTGCTATTCACATTAACATAAAGAATATTAACAATAAATAGACATTACTGCCGTCAAACATGAATTATGCCGTTGTTTAAGCTTATTACGACTTTAGTTTTCAAAGAACACTTGCCATGGTTTTGAATTGTTGTAAGATACTGGTAGTGATTTATTTTAACTTGTTTAATTACCGTAAATCATGGATTAGTGTGTTATTTTAAATATTATAGGCAACGGCTTATCATGACCTTATATGGTAATGCCACAGAATAAAGCAGTAACAGTACTGGCACTAGTTGTCAAATAGAAATCCATTTTATGATTAAAACAACTGAATATCTCCTGTAATATACTTTATTTCGATTCCATATTTTTGTCAGAGCTATAGTTCTCATAAGCAAACATAATTACAAAATGTCAACTAGTTTCATAAAGAATAACGAAAGATATAATTGACTGAATACATCAAAATGGATTTCTATTCGGACAACCCTTTCTGAGCGCTGATTGGCTAAAATACAAACACGAGATCACCTGGATGGTAATGCTGCACTGTTGTTATTCTACATTTTGTTATTGGCATATCAATATCTGAATAGTCTATTGATTTCATATGAGAAGCTAGGGAAGATTAATAAGTTTATTAAAATTATGCTGTGTGTTTCATTGATATGTTTAAACATATTTAAATACACAAAGAGAAATAAACTTTATATTAATTTTAAACGATGTTTGAAATCCGAATAATCCGAATAACTAAATACGGCTCAAAGTTTGAATAATAATTAGCACTTGAAAAACTTTGAGGGCCGCCTGAGCTTGGGCCTGGGGACGAGGATATTGAAAAACAACCAATCAGAGCCCGACTTTCACCGGTGTTTCCCAGAGCCTCAGCAAGCCTCCACAGAGGATTGCGGGCTCTGGTTTCGAGATTGTTTCAACAGTGATTTCAACACTCTCTCCTCCGCAGAGGCTTACACGAAGTTTCTAGTGAGGGAAAAGTGAGCGCGCAAGGAGTGATGGGAAGAGCTAAATAAAGGAAGCCTCTGCGACTGCGAGTTAATGCCATCAATATGGCGTCGTGTATAATCGTTTGTAGCGAAGTTCGATCAACCATCGGGGGTGTTAAAACATGTTTTCGACTTTCATTTTCAGGCGTACTTGAGTATCCTGGGGTGAATTCAATATCAATATCTTCTTCTGTCCATTTGCATCGAAAAATATTGAGAAATTGCAAATAAATATCAATGGATACGAGCTATCTGATCATAAATACCCTCTTAATTGCAACATTTCTTTATAAAAATGATTATATTGAACTTCGATACTCAGATTATGAAGATTCATTTCAATTTCTTTCACATTTCCGTCGATTTCAAGTTTAAAAAAAGGTCAAACAACTAGTTTGGTTCAAAAACCATACTTCGTCGCATTATCTGGCAGAGCCTCCCCAACTTCATTTCAATCTTCCCATCCCACCGTGCGCGCTCACTTTTATTCAGGAAACTTCATGTAAGTTATTTGTAAATACTTAAGGAAGCTCTGCGGAGGAGAGAGGTTTCAACATGTGATGGTGAAGGACCAGATTTTAATATGATTAAACGTTGGATATCTTAGATAATTAGGTATATTGTTATTCTAATGAGTTTCCAAACCATCTAGTTGCAATTCGAGAATCGAGTTGAGTTCAAAAAGTGAGGTTTTCACTCGTTCCCAACCATCAAACGGACATTACGTCATTTGATCAATTTCTAAAGTTGATTCTTTTGGATTTATTTTATTACTTTGGTTAGAGTTAGGGTTGGGGTTAGGGGGTGAGTAGGGGTAGGATTTGGGTTTGTTATATAGCCATCTGATATCTCTCCATCTTCCTGCTGACCAAAAAGTGCAGTCAAAGACGCATTAGATCAACCTCGTCCACAGTGTCTTCTTCGATCGTACATATAGTACGAACAAGACCCTGGGGATGAGGTTGGCACTCGACGTCTTGTACCCCGAGCCCGCGATCCTGGATTTATTGTACTCAGACAACTCAGTCTTTTTCAACTGTTTTTGTCTGCGCGGTCTGCAACGAGTATGGCTAAAATTCGTATTTTTATTTCGATAAATAGCATAACACAATATCATGCATGGTTTTATGAACTGGTAACTTGATTAGCGATACGGTCCGCTAGAATTGTTTAAGATTTCATATAGTCTTTTCTGGGTTTTTTTTACATAAACTTTATTAAAATGTTTGCCTCAAAAGCCGTAGGCCTATTAAGGAAGCTCACATGAAATTACATTGTTTTTTAAAAAGAAGTATTTGCAAGTATATAAACACAAAAAGACAAGACAAGAGACAACCAACAGCCAAAATATTTTATAATGTCTCCAGATATAAACTATCATTTCGATCTCTTACATATTAATTATTTATTTTTGGCGGGAAAATGAAGTTCAGCCTTAGTTCTCTACGCGGTATGTATAAAATCAGTTTCAGTCTCAATTTCAGTCCCCCTACTCGGTCAAAGAAGTTGCAATTCGAGAATTGAGTTGAGTTCAAAAATTGAGATACTTTTCACTCGTTTCCAACCATCAATTGAAACAGATATTACATCATTTCATCAATTTCTGAATTAATTCATTCTTTTGGATTTATTTTATTATTTCGGTGAGCTGGGCCGTTAGGGTTAGGGTTAGGATTAGAGTTAGGGGTTAGAGAGTTTGGGTTAGTTCCATAGTCATCTAATACCTCTTCCATCTTCCGATAATGACGTCACGTCATTTTGATACATGGAAACAAGTTCTGACCAAAACGTGAAGTCAAAGATGCAATCGACGTCTCGTACCCCGAAACCCGCGATCCTGGATCTATTATTGGAGTTAATCCCATTCAACAGTTTGTGTCTGCGCGTGTCTGCGCGCGATGTGAATACATTTCGTATTTTGACTTCGATTTAAAATTTTAAAGTATAATACTGTGTCATGCTTTTATGAACTGATAACTTGATTACTGATACTGTCCGCTAGAAAAATAGGATTAAACTGTTTACGATTTCATAGCTAGCTATATACGTCAATTCCGCCATTTTGGCGTCATTTTAATTTTCTAAAGTTCACTGCCATGGCCGTACGTGCCTAATCTTGTTTGCGGGGTGGCGGGGGGGGGGGGGGGGGGGGGGGGGCACAGTATTAGTTTGCTCGACCGCTTTTCTTACACAGTACATATATACAAGATTATTCAAGATGTTAACAGGGACATTTTTAAGGATTTTCTCGTGGGGTGGGGGAAGGTTTTGAAAAGGGATCTTTCTGTGAGACAATATACTAGTGGAAGATAGCCATGTGGCCGACATATCACGCATAAATCTTTGAAATTTGAAGCCCGGAAATGCAATTTCCTGCATTCTAAGCATCCAAATTTGCTCTAAAATTTATGCTAACTATACTTGTTCGACTGGGGGGGGGGGGGGGTCACTTGCCCCCAAGCTTGTATGTTAAAAAGTATCCGAAAAATGATTATTATTAACTAAAAAGTATCCGAAAAATGATTAAATTAAAGAGTATCCGAAAAAGAATTAACTGCAATAGGTGTACCTCAGGGATCTGTTTTAGGACCTTTGCTTTTTCTTATTTATGTTAATGATATCTATAATTCATCTAACAAACTACAATTTTACCTATTTGCGGATGATACGAATTTGATGTACGCTGATAAAGATCTAAAAATATTGGAATCTATACTTAATTGGGAACTACTTAAAGTGTGTAACTGGTTAACTGCAAATAAACTATCTTTAAATATAAAAAAGACGCATTTCGTGATCTTTCATCCTTATCAAAAGAAGATAAATTATGAGGTAGATTTGAAGATATTTGACAACGATTCAAACTCTTTCATTTCTTTGGAACGTAAACATTATGTCAAATACTTGGGTCTGCTTATTGACAGCAATCTTACATGGAAATACCATATTAGTCACGTTGCTTCAAAAATGAGTAAGACAGTGGGCATTATCTCCAAATTAAGGCATTTTGTACCTAGAAATACTTTAATAAATATTTATAAATCTCTTATTCTTCCTCATATTTCATATGGCATAGCAGTATGGGGTCAGGCTGCCAAAGTTCATCTTGATAAAATTTTAAAGCTTCAAA